ATGCATCCCCAGCTAGGCTGCTTCAAGGAAGTAAGTTGACCGAAGCGGATCTCATGAAACCCCTTCTGGATTCCCTTCATCTTCCATGAAGCTTCATCCCCATGAAGCAAAAATCTTTGCTTGGAGAAGAACTTTGGATTTTGGAAATGGGATTTTCTTCCATGACCGTTTATATAAAGGTCTGACACAAACAGATGCTATAGCATTCAAAGGCAGCACAGAAATTGAAGGACCCTTTGTGGACTATCTTGGAAACCAATATGGAAAGCCAGCTCTGCTTTCAGGCCCTGTTGTCCCAGAGCCACCCACGTCTCGTTCGGATGAAAAATGGGCTCGATGGCTAGAACAATTCAGGAGGGATCCGTAGTTTATTGTGCATTTGGAAGCGAATGCATGTTACAGACAGCCCAATTCCAAGAATTGTTGCTTGGTCTTGAGATGACAGGGTTACCATTTTTGGTAGCACTACTTAAGCCACCAGGTGGATTCGAGTCCGTTGAAGCAGCCATGCCAGAAGGATTCAAGGAAGAGTTAAAGAGAGAGGGATTATTTACGGAGGATGGGTTCAGCAACAAGTGATCTTAGCTCATTCAAGTGTAGGTTGCTTCATAACGCATTGTGGGGCAGGGTCTATAACAGAGGGATTGGTGAACAAGTGTCAGTTAGTGTTGCTTCCACAAACATTACCAGATCACATCATGAATTCGAGGATGATGAGTTCTGAATTGAAAGTTGGGGTTGAAGTAGAAAGAGGGGAAGAAGATGGTTTGTTCCCGAGAGGAAGTGTGTGTAAGGCTGTGAAGATTGTGATGGATGATGAGAGTGAGACTGGGAAAGAGATCAGAGAAAACCATGCAAAATTGAGAAGCTACTTGCTAAGCAACGATTCGGAGTCTTCTCATATGGACCGTTTTTGTGAGAAGCTACGTGATTTACTCAGGTGATTTATTTATTGGTTCCACCTAAAACGGAGGCTCTTGAGTTTATGTGGTTCATGCTTTTGAGTTTTACTCTTTCGGGTGATTTATTGTTGTGCGTGGTGAATATCTTTCACTTTGGCTTTCTTATTGTTCATGTGCTTTTGAGATGATTCTAAGCTAAAATGGTATCTAAGTTATCAATTTCTTATTCTGACTTCGTTAAGGTTAATGAGAAATTCAGAAGGGATAATTCTTAAAACAAAATTTCAAATTACTAAATTTCAAATTAGATTTGACAACAATATTTTAATAAGTTCTGATAATACTGGACTTGTAAATAAAAATACACTTTCATAAAAAAAAATTATTTGAGATTTGATAATTTCAACCTTCCTTTTTACGAGATTCTCCTAATTCAAAATTATCTTATTTGCCTATGTAAGTAAGAAAGAGAAAAAGAGAAACAAAAGTGAAAAAATAGTTGAGTACACATAATCGATACCTATTAGCAAAATTGGATAAGAGTATGGATTATTAAAGAGTATTAGGGGGTGTTTGGAAGCACCCAGAAACACTTTTTCACAAAACGAGACAAACTCTTGTGTATATTTATCTCATATACCCTAAAAACACTTTTAAAAGTTAAAACTATGGTTTGGTTTCTATTCAAACACCCCAATTAAATAGTGTAGCTGTGAGCGTGAAAATTTTCTGTGTTGGAATTAGTATTTGTCGGGGTCGGCCAATAAAATTTTGATCTTGAACGAATATGATTATAAGAGGTTCTATGTACCAAAGGAATTATGATTGATACTTGAATACTTGGCCATTGCTCGTCTTTAATGTTTAATTTGCATGAATGATTAGTAATTAAACAAGGTCAATATATAATAATATTAGCATCAAGAATTACAATATCATTTTTTTAAAAAAAATTATATACCATAAACATGAAAATATTCTAAATGTACAATGTGTACGCATATATACATACTTATATACGTATACTCACACTATTTATTCAAATGAAGAGGTTATTAATCATAAAATAATAAAAAGTAAAAGTAATATACCTGGCTAGTCTTCATCTGGTCATAATTATGACAAGTGTATATCAAAGCAACAATCAGCTTTTTTTTTCTTTTTTTTTGCCAAGGCGACAATTACATGCTAATGTGTGCGCGCGCGCGCGTAAAGCATTAGATATATGGATGATACAAAAAATAAAATATCTTTGACAAAGAAATAATATATTTGAGGTGGCATGTTAATTAATAAATGATGGACGGTGGTGGAGGTCTTTCCGACGAGATTAAACTAAACTAAACTCACGAACTATATGTACTGAATTAATTTCAATAAATAAATCTTAAATCAAGCCAAAATTATATATTCATCCCCTATAGTTCTTTCTTCGGGGTTAATTCTTCCCTTAAAGGGGATAAGTTCGAAGATATCAAATAATTTAAACAAGTAATTATTTCATGGTTTAATTTCCTACTTTACTTCTAGGTTGAAATAATCATATTACAAACTACAAAAAGTGTGATGCACTAACACCACGCCTTAATGTTCTTCCTTTATGAAAGATTTGACCGTGGCAGTGATTAATAGTAAATTAATTTGTTATAGATATTTATGGAATTTGTGTATAAAATTAGAGGAAGCTCCTTATCAGATCAATCATTGATCAGTAATAACGAGAATCATAACAACAAAAACGAGATTTCTTTCCAATTTAACGAAGATAATACGATGCATTAACTATAGATGTCTCTAATTGAATATATAAACACCCTTCTCTTCTTTTTGATTAATTGAGTCTCGATCTCACAGATTCAGAAAGCTCTTGAGTCCAAAAAAAGATTCAGAAAGCTCTTTAATTTTTTATATTTTATTATTGTGTTCTTTTTTGCGTTGTGTTGTCGGATTTTCCATGGCTACAAATGGTGGGGATCTTTCTCCCTCTGAAGGTTCAAGCATCTCAGGAGGGTCCAAAGGAAAAGCTATCAGAGAAGTGATCGAACACCAGAAGATGAAGATGGTTCAAGTAATAAGTGAATTTATATATAGAACCTTGATTTTTCTGTCTGTTTCTTTGTTTTGGTCCTACTATTTTTAAGATTACGGCAGAGAAACTTAAGTTTTGATTGTGGGATTGTTTGGAAAATCATAAAAATGTTTTAAAAAAATACTTTTTCATAAATCGAAACAAACTTCTCCATATATTAATTTTGTATACTGTAAAATCACTTTTAAAATGATAACTTAGTTTCCATCTAAACACTCACGTATGCTCTGTGACCAAAGGGATTGAATGTTGCTTTAACAGTTTAATGTTTAACAGTTCAAAGATGTAATGAATAAAATCCTAACGTTATTTCGAAATCAGGGTAAATCATTTTTAATCATATATTCAGGAAAAAAAAACATAAATTAAAGAGGTGCCTCATAAGCGTCTCCTTTTTGAAACCTTGAAATTATGGGATAATAGCAATAGAAATGTTTTCTTACAGGGAACTAGTTCCCCTGAAGATATAATTTTTTCTGTCCAAACCATTGTGCGCCACCCCATCTACGCTCTGGACCTCCTTAGTACTGTGAATCCCGAAGCTTAGATGATAGTGCTCTTGTAGACTTTGTACAGTTTCTTTTTTTAATTTATATATTTTCCCTTTTCACTTGGGGAAAAAGAAAAAAAGAGTTACCTGATAAGTATTGTATTATTTTCTCTGCTTACACCCTATCCTTTATTATTTGTCTCTTTCTTAACATGCTATATATATGCAGTCACTTTTTTATGTCGAGGTTTCAAACTGTGCTATTTCTCTCTGATTACATAAAACTAATATATGTCTGCACAGAATTTAGGTATAAATATAGAAAGTCCAAACTTTCTCCAATGTTCTTTTAGCCAGGTTAATACAATTAATTATTAATTTTCTCTCACATTAAAAAAATATTAATTTTCTCTTCAGGAAAAGGCAATAATTGTTTTATGTTTGATATAAAATAATGAATAAAATCCATTGGTTATTGCAAAATCAAAGCTTTACGAACTTACATTTATCACACTTACAAGCCCACTACTTGATAATTAACTGATTTTTTCTATGTTGCTTGACTTATATTTCGTGAAGATCACTCATGAAGACTCTCTTCATAAGCCGAAGATCAAACTGGATACGTTCAAATTTGGATTGAACATCGCAGGTTGTTCTTCATCTAAAATAGACATCAACAACGACAAAGGAAAAGATCATGAACGTCATTGTCATCACGATGAACCTGATCATTATGATAAAAGAACACAGAAGACTTTCTGCTGCAACTTCTGCAAAAGAGAGTTTTCTTCCTCACAAGCCTTAGGAGGCCATCAAAATGCCCACAAACAAGAGCGTGCAATCGCTAAACAACGACAAGTAGGGATTATCTCTGACCATCATTTCAGTGTTCTAGGGCGTCACTATTCTCCACACTTTCCTCATTATAGTAATTACCCCTATTATGCTAATTACCCTCAGATTAATTATGGGTCTTTCAGTTGTAATAATAGACCACTTGGGGTTAAATTGGAGTCCATGATTCATAAGTCGCCTCAGAAGTCTAGTTTTATATTTAGGCGTGATCATCAAACCCCAGGCAGGCTTAGGGCAAGTTCAGGAACTTTGAGGATTGAAGAAATTGGTAATATCAGTCCTCTGACTCGGCAATTCGAGCATATTTCTTCTGCTCCAGCTGCTACCGATAGTGCAATTGGTGATCAACATATCAAGGTTTTGCCACAGAAAGCTTTGAAAGAGGAGGACGATAATCTTGATACTTCAGGCCTTGACTTGTCACTTAAGCTTTAAGTCAGTTTTAAATTTGTGACAGTTAGCTATTGTTGGTTTACTTTTTGTTTCAAAAACTATAGCAACAGTAATTGAGTTTAATATGTTTGCTTTGCTAAGTGTTCAGTTATTGAGCCTCTTGTCTCATATTTTCAATTTTTAATTTATTGCAAACTTGAAATAAAGATTGAGATTTTTATTTGTTGATCTTGATGCCAACCCAATCGACACAACTTGAAATGAGGTGTGTAGAGAATTTTCAATATTTTATTATAAGTTTGTCATGTACCGTCAACCATACATGTTTGTTGTTAAGGAATAAACATGGGTCTGCTTACTTTTTGAGTTTATGGTTTAATAATCGAATTCGACTATGGTATCTCTCTGTTCGACAAAAATAAATATTAGTGTGCGATATTAGTTTTTTCCTTTTAATAATAAGGACATTGATAAGTGGCATAAGTGACAAATATTTAATGTCTAACAATACCTTAAAAACTGTATTTAATAGGAAGATAACCATACTTGGAAAAAAAATTAATTATGTTTGAGTTAAACGAGAGTTTTATCCTGAAAATTTTTGGTAGAGCATAATTAGTAAAATACTCATCTAAAAACTCTTGACGGTTAAAATCTCGCGTTGACCAACTTGTGCGCGGCTGTTTTTAGTTCTGCGTTGAATATTCATGTATGAGAAAAACCTCTCATCTTCCAGCACGGGGCTCACTTTTGATGCCACATGGCTCACTCTCGCTCCCCCCCTCAGTTGAAATGTGCTGTTCCTCTTCAGTCTTTAGTTTGCTCTCCTCACCATTTTCTGGTGATTACGTTCTGCTTCAAAATCTAGGCTCTGAAACAATCTCTGTCAATACTTATATAAACCAGAGATTCTCCTGTTTTCCCGTTTTCACGTTCGAATCTTCCCCCTCTGACACTTCCTCAGATTCTACCCTTAATTTTCTGATGATCAGAATTACTAGTTCATAATCCTTGTACTCCAGAGACAATTTCAATGGCTGTATCCTGCTTTGTATGCTAACACCCAGAAAATGAAACCATCAAGAGATTGCAATTTTCAGGGGAGAAGGAAACTCAGCAATGGCCGAAGGGCTTGTTCTCTGAGGCACCATGCGTGGCCACATCGACTTGGTCACCGCCATTGTCACCCCAGTCGCCAACTCCAATATGATGGAGGAAGCCACGTGTGAGCGTTTTCCGGTTGAAGAGCTCCCCCCCACCCCTTCTCACCCAGAGCCAAACGCAAGCTAACAAAGTAACAAGACATCTACTCTTGTGGGAAAAAGCTGACAAAGATAATTTACTGAAAGATTGAGAGTGTTTGATTGCTCAGTGAGTTCAGCTCTATCGAGGTCCTTCGAAGTTCAACCATTTCGCAAGTCTTGAGCAGCCCGAAAGGTTCAGAATTTCAAGAGAAGTTAACAGAAATAAGGTGTTTGGGATGCTTATGAGATGATTACAGTTTCTCAAATTCAGGAACGTGATCTTTTTAAGATCTCCAACAGACGGATCGACCTGCAACAATCCAGTACATCCTTCAAGATCTAACCTCTCAAGATTTTCTGCTCCTTTAACATTTGGCGTCTTGATCAGACTTTTAGAGCCACGTAGATCCATGTTTCTCAACTTTGGCAATCTCTGCGAAGGAGCAAAAACAATTAGCTAGTTACCGTTACCCAACAACAGACCATTCTCTGTTAGATTGGAGTTTAGTTCATTAAAAGTAGAGATATCATACAAAGAAAAAGATATATTTATAATCATTCATTTGTTAGCCTAGTCCACTATCTCTCGGTTGTTATTAACACAACATAAACAACAATATTGTACCTTTTCGCCTTCCCATAGTTGTCTTACGTTGCTGTCAGGCATGATCAGCTCGACAAGTTTATCTGGTTCAAAACCTGATGGCAAAGAGCTGAAAGGAAATTTATGCCATGAAAGAACTCGTAACTCGTTGGACAGGTTAGTGAGGTTTCCTGAAAATTTCACATTATCAGGGAATATGATTAATCTGAGGCGGTTCATTTGTGATAAAGCCTCAGCCTTCAATGGCGTCTCTTGCAGATCTTCCGGGCTCAGGACGATGGCTTCAACTTTTTCCGTTCCCTGAGCACAAGCACATCACAATGCGTTGGATTCCGTGAATTATATGGAATGCTAGTATGCTAAAGAAAGAAAGAATATGAAAACAAAACCTCAGTAAAGTAATCATCCAAAAAAGAAAAACCTACTGTCTTTACGGTTTGAATATCTTTGTATGACCACAGCCTACTCCACTTTGCTGGCTCATCAGGAAATTCTCCCCTTGCGAATTTCCATCCCAGTTCTTGCAGCATATCGTGCATCCAGAATGTTCCATTAACAATGTTCAGAAGTGATCTGTCACGGAGAACCCTAAGTCCAATTTTAGGATTGAATCCACAATGTTCTAGAATTTTTGTCACATAGTTCTCGTCTCCTCCCTTGAAGAAACAAGCAATGTCGACAAATATATCCTTGTCCTTCTTCTCAAGCCGAACAAAACTTGTTTCAAGAACTCCCATAACCTCTTGGTCAGGATTTTCTCTCAGTCTTTCTAACTGAGCAATCCACTCTGATATTTCCAACCCATACATAAAGGAACCTAACACTTTGATTACCAGTGGAAGGGCTTTAGCATATTGTAGCAGACTATGAGTCATCGCTTTAAAGTCACTCAAGGGATCATCTTGTTTGAAGGCTTTTCTACAGAGAAGTTGAAGAGCTTCATCTTCATTCAGTAGTTTAACCTCATAAACTTCATCCACTCCATGCCTGGTTAAGATGTGCAAATCTCTAGTTGTTATGATGATCCTACTTCCCGGCCCAAACCATGAGGACTTTCCAACCAGTTTCTCCAATTGATCAGCATGATCAACATTGTCAACAACAATAAGAGTTTTAAGGTGGTGAAGCCTAGTGCTTATTAAATTGGTTCCCCTGTGATCTTCCCATATCTCTATATCTTCCTGCAGTGTTTCACGGAGGAGTTGTTTTTGCAGACGTACAAGTCCAGGACCCTTGTGAACTTTACTTACATCAAGAAGAAGACAGCAAGCATCAAAACGGTGAGAGATCCTATCGTATACAACTGCAGCTAGAGTAGTCTTCCCTACTCCAGGCATCCCCCACATACCTACTTTTCGAACATCTTCTGATTCTAAATCTAAAAGGTTTTCAAATGCTTCTGCACGAGATTGCATCCCAACTAGATCATCAGCCAGACTTGAGAATCTATGACCCAATTTGCGTATTGCATCAGTAACAATTTCATCAATGACATCAGACTCTGATCTGAAAAGGAGAAAAACTCTCTAATCATCACTTAAGGAAACAAGGACAAGGGAAAATGAACAGAACACTACAGATTTATATTTTATACATAAGAAGATCAGAATAAGAACAGGAGAAGATTACTTACTTAGCCCGTACATCATAACCAGCGAGACTGGCTACTTGAGTCAACGCTATCCTCCATCTTTGAACCTTATCTATATTATCACAGAAGTCTCTTTCATGTTTATCAAAGAATTCTCTATACTTCCCACTCTGTCTTCGAACATCAGATGGATCGACATCGAAGAAAATTGGTACGATAAAGTATCCTGGTTCGCTAATTCCCTCAGATATCTTCGCCAGCTCGTCCAAGCACCATGATGAATCAGCATAGTTTTGGGAAAAGACGACGAAAGAAATTCGGGATTGCTCAATTGCTTTGAGGAGCTCAGGTTTAATGGGTTCTCCTTTCTCGAGCCTTTTGTCATCCTTGAAGGTAAATATACCTTTCCGTTGAAGAGCAGAAAAAAGATGACCAGCGAAACTATTGCGAGTATCCTCACCTCTGAAACTCAGAAAAACTTCGTATTTCCAGGTCCTCCGAGAAGATGAACTGCCTGGAAAGCTAGGATAATTCATTTCGACAATGCAAGAAGCTCACTTCCAAAACACAACAGAGATGCTCAACTTTGCTCACGACGATGGCTGCTCATTGGATGGTAAAGTCGTCGTTGATTGAAGATAGAGAAAGATCGAAAACGAAGTCACCATTGACTGAATAAACTGCGCAAGTGCGTATTTTCTTTCATATGTCTGCAGGCTTTTGCCCGCGGGTAGCTTCGAGCCCCCGGCAAAATAAACCAGGAAAAATAGCAAATAACCCCGACATACGGAATTACGATTTGAGACTCTTAATTTAGAAAATAGTAAATAAAGACCCAATTTTATATTGTAAATATAAAAGTTTGACAAACTGAAATGTCTTTCGGTCAAGTTGTGATTTGATTTATTGAAGTTATTATTCGTTAAAGTGAACTTGTCATTTAACATACCCTCAACCAAGTTGTGATTTAGTTTACTGAAGTTGTCATTTGTTAAAGTAAAATTGTCATTTTTTATAATCAACTTGTCACTTGGGCCATGGACATTTCAGATATTTTACTAAAATTTCATATTTACAATATAAAACCGGGTCTTTATTTGCCACTTTTTAAATTGAGAATCGCAAATCTTATTTCATATATAGGAAGTTTTTATTTGTTATTTTCCCAATAAACTAATGTATTTTTTAAAAAATGCAAATTTTGAATAAAATAAAATAATGGGAAAATTTCGTTCAAGGACCGCAGTACAGAATTAATTTCAAAGAGTCCTCAAAACTTTCTGAAATTTCACTGCAGGACCAAGGGGGCAAACTGATATTAATTCCACAAAGAAAATGACCATATTGCCCCTCATGTGAACAAGTATGGGAGAACCCATTTGCAAGTGAGGTTAGATAATTTACAACATGCATAGATATAGTTACAATTAAAATTAATCCATTTACATATTACCTTCTTCACCTGAAGAATGTGTCTGAGTGAACAAGTGTGGGACAGCCCATTTGCAAGTGGGACTAGACAATTTGCAACATACATATATTTATTTACAACTGGAATTAGTCCATTTACATGTCACTTCCTTCACCTGAAAAAGGTCTCCGTGAGTGAACAAGTGTGGGAGCGCCCATTTGCAAGTGGGATTAGTCAATTTGCAACATACATACATTTATTTATAATTAGAATTAGTCTATTTACATATTACCTCATTCACCTGAAAAAGGTGCTTGTGAGTAAATAAGTGTGAGAGAGCCCATTTGCAAGTGGGACTAGTCAATTTGCAACATACATACCTTTATTTACAACTGAAATTAGTCCATTTACATGTCACCCTGCAATAAGTATTATGAGGGGCAATAGCGTCATTTTCTTTGTGGAATTAATATCAGTTTGCCCCTTTGGTCCTGCAGTGAAGTTTCAGAAAGTTTTGAGGGCTCTTTGAAATTAATTGTCTTCTGCGGTCCTACAGTGAAATTTTCTCTAAAATAATTGTGTTAGGACTGGCTGTGACAATCTAGACCAAGGTTAATAAGGAAGAAAAACGGAAAATAAATTATAATTTACAAATGAGTATCTTAGCATATTAGTACTGTTGATTTATTTTGGCCATCTACCACTATTGATTTATTTTTTGGGGAGAGAAAAATTTACCACTGTTGATTGTTAAAAACTTAAAATTGACGTTTGAGCACACAATTACATAAATCATCTTAGGCATTTTTACTAATCATATTTTCAGTTACCAACATTTAAAATAAAAATAAATTGATTACTAAGTGAGGTTAGAAATTTCATACTCATATTTAGGCATTTTCAGTAGTCATATTTTACAACAATTTAATTCACTTCAATTCTAAAATAAATTAATTTCTAACCGCGATTAAGTGTTTCCAGCGATAGAAGTTAAGGAATTTCACTTTAGGGCTTTTCGATCACGCGATATTAAAATATCTTCTAATCGCATATGATGTATGAATGATGATGTACAGTGTACACAAATGCCAAAGTGGCTACAGAGATTAGAATAGTTTTAGTGGGGTCCAGTCACATATATTTGTCTACGCTGCGTCTGGAAAGTATTGAAGCTAAAACAGCCACCTCCACTCAAGAATTTGATTCTTTCCTAATTGCATTCGCTTAATTGCAGAGTCACGGCGAAGAATCATGCTTTGGATAAGAATAAAAATAAACAGAGGATTTCAACCAGAGGAAAAGGCGAAATCATGAAGGATATATTCTCAGGGACAGCTAAAAGAAATGCAGCCATAAATCCGAGTCGGAAAAGAAGCTATAAGTATCTCCCGGTATAAGGAAAGTATCAAAGTAAACTCGATGATGAAGAGGCAAGTGAAATCGTGAAATCATGAACAGAAATTCCCACAATTTCACACTCTTACCTGGTGCTCGCCGATCTGTCGCAAGAGCTCATGATACCCATAGTGGCTACGATGAGGCGCCTCACTTTTACCGATCTCGTTCTGCCCAATCTACTCCTGTAAGTATATTTCCATCCAACAACTGAGATATTTAGCGAAAGGTAAAGGGCAGATAAAATTGTTTTGAGGATGATAAGCTATTATTTGGATTATATTACCAGGATTACAGGATTTTAGGCGTGCAAGATACCCCAAGGTTGATGGGAGACAGAACACTTTCAGGACTCAATCGCACACCCAGGTAATCACAACTTCACAAACTATCAAAGCTCATTTTCAATGCTAATGCCTGAATATTTATGCCCATGATCACGTGTATAGAACAGAATAGGTCATTCTACGTGTAAAAGAGCGTTCTCTGTATGAACCAACTAATAGGGATTCAACCATTCGCTTGGATTTCCCTTTGCATTTCACTTTAGATCACCCAAACTCTTGGTATTTTTCCCTGCCAGGACAAGGATTTACTATTTAGCTGCGTGGACTTCTGGTTTTTCATGTGGGAAAATACCCTGGCTGATTTACTCTTTTTGGAACTCTCTGCAGTTTTCCAGCACAACCACATCTCAGACAACAAATGAATGGATCCAATGGAGGCATGAGAAGGGGGTTGAACCCCGTGTTCGGGGAGATTGTCCAGCAGTCGCCTCCAAGAACCGCAGAAAATCCCAATTCAGCAGTTTTGAGCAAGCTTAAGAAAGAAATATACGAGCCCCCAAAGATTTTACCGAAGAGAGTGAGTCTGTGTTATAAAGACAGTGTTGCGAATGCTTTAAAAGAGAGAGATAGGGAAAAGCAAGAACGTCGCAAGAGGTGTGCTATTTGCTTGGAAGATTTTGAACCTCGTGAGGAAGTGATGCTCACACCATGCAAACATGTGTTTCATGAGGATTGTATTGTTCCATGGCTAAGAAGCAAAGGCCAGTGCCCTGTTTGTAGATTTGTGATTTGTGAGGAGATGAATGAGCACGCTTCATCCTTCAACGACGATATTGCCATGCTGGGACCCAATGACCACCTAATTGCAGCCGAGCTTCTGTCAATTTTTGGAGCCATGGAACAAGCTCTCGAAATGGGCGGTTGAGCTCAGTAAAATGAGAGTTATAACACAAACTAGATAATATTTGAGACTCAGTCGTAAGTAATTACTGTCAGATTTGTACAAGTTCTTTGCCTTTTTTGTAGCCTAGTCTTTGCGAGGGCGATAGTTTCCAAACTAAAAGCTATCGGATAAAGTAACTCACCACAGTGAACTTGATCCTTGGTTGGAGTAACAGCTCCTTTTTGTCTCCAGTCCACGGAAGTGGGAATATCAGTGACGTTTTCGTACTTAAAGTGATGATATTGTTGACGATGTTGTATTCAGCTCGTGGGATTTCTTGTTGATTCCATTGCGAGAAGCCTTAACTTCTTTATTTGTTTGGTCAGCCAAGTGATTGATGCCGAGCTAGTATGTTTTATTCTCAGCAGCATTAAATGATTCAGTGAACTCCACATTGTCCTTAAATATCTTGAAACGATTCTCCTTTTCTGCAGCATTGTCATACATTTTTTGCTGTGCTTTTTCGACCACTACTCTTTAACTTTTTCTGATAATTCAGCTTCTTGTAGTTTGCGGCATTACACGATGAGAAGTCCAAAAAAGTGAGAATGAACAAGAGATAGAACTTGTTTTCTGCCTATGGATGCCATTACTAAAAATTTATCAATAATGATAATTGGTTTATGAAGATTGGGATGCTTCAATGGCAAATAACCCGATTGGTTTATATAACTTTTCTGCCTCTTCACTCCTTCATCAGCAGACTATTTTTATTCTCAATAAGCAGATGGGGTCGCCATCGTAATGGACACTCAGATTCAGAAATTTGTGCTTATTGTGGGTTTGAGAACATGTCAATTATTCTCTTCATTTTTCTCATATAAGAGCTACTTAATTAATTTGTGTAGGTTTAAAAAATTAAATAAATTGATTAATTATAACAATTGTAATATAAAATGATTAATTATAACAAATGTAATATAATTTGTTTAAAATTTATAAAATATTAATACTTTATTTGTATAAAAATTTACCAGGTTATCAATCTATAATATTAAATCAAAATCAATTACAAGCCGGCTCATTTTCACCTCCATAATGGCTCTTCACTCAAAATACTGTTCTATGAACAGTACTAGCTTAGGAATAGTAGCGGCTCAGTTTTGGGCTGCGCCTATTTTTAATTTTGTGTATAGTATTTTTTTTTTTCCAAGTGCTTTTTTTAAAGTGTCCAGATGGGAGTTTTAAAATTTGAAGTTCCCTCCATTTCAACTCTTTCTCACTCTTTGGGTTCAAAATCTGCAGGATTTCTTTATGATGCTTTTTTGACTTCCTCCCCACGTTATATCCAAAGTTTTAAAGTATAATAAGCAAATAAAAATTAATATTAGAAATGTATATGATGATATAAATATAAGAAGTAAATATAAAATTACTGCATATATATTTACGGTTGGCATTAATATTAACAGTTTTAAATTAAAAATTAATAGATGCAGAAATTACTTGAATTTTAATACGGTTAAAAATCAATATTTAAATATTTTAATGTTTATAATAATTTCTATCTTTGAAAAAATAACAATATTATAATATAAATATTTTTTGACGTAGTAATATAAATAGTTTTGCTTACCTTTATAATATAGTAAAATTTTCAGATTTTTTTAAATTTGTAAATTTTTGGCTTTTGGAAAAATGAAAAAAAATTAATTATAACATATCCCAAAATTGACTGCCACACGCTTTCTCCCTGCAACACGCTTTCTGTAGTCTTGATAAGTCGTATACTTTTCTCCGTTGCCCTCATTTTTTGCTTCGAGTTTCATCTTTTCGTCATTTTAGCTTTAGTTGTGCTCTTAGCAAGTTCTGACAGGTTGTCACCAGATGTGGACTCCTTCGCTTCCTCTGCCTGGTAAATCGTCTTCTTTCTATTCTTTATTTTTTACTCTCTCCTTTGCGTGTTTCCCATTGTCTTTTCCCATTCCTCTTTTTTCCCCCCTCTTCTCCTCAATTTCCCAGGTGAATCGTTCTTGCAAAACCGTTGTGGGAGCTTGAGTTTGCGGTCTCCGATGCCGACAACTGTTGGGTGAGGGTGGTGATAGATATTGGTAGGACGCTCTCATATAACGGCAAGGAGTGCTTCTGGAGCAGAACCTGCAGGTAGATCCTAGCTTTCTTCATCCTTTCACCTTTCTACATATCCTCTTCAAGTATTCCTCACAGTTTTATTTTGTCTTTTTATTTTAATGTATTTTATTGTTCTGTAATGGGTTTTCCTTGCTAAACGAAGGGTTTTTAAAATTCTTCACAAAACAGGCTGAACGTTTTTATATTTCATTGTCAAGTGTTCATCATCCATTCTCAAAGCTTACGCTTCTATTACATATTATGTACTATAAAGTCAATTCAAATCCTCCATTGTTTATTTTTAAATACTGGGTTTTAATTCTTTTTCTCGTCTAAGTTACAGTGGGGTAGCTGGATAGGTTTAGTGAAATATGCTTATGCAGGACTTATTCCTAAAACTACTGGGCTAATTCTCATTTTGTAGTCTCATTAGTGGCCCCCGGGAAGGCACACAGATGTTTTCATGAACAACGTCTTTGGTTCAAAGGTAATTATGGCTCAATAGTGCATTCACCCTAATATTGTGCCTTCCAGTATGATTAGTTTTCTGCATTTTTCTGGTACAATTATTTTTTTTCCAATGTCTTGCTTCATTTTTTTATGAGACTATCTAAGTTCATCTATCATATAGGAAGAATAGGATAAGGTGTGTTTTGCTTGGATATTGTGTTGTGAAGCTATAGGTTGAACATCAGCCTTACATTTACTTGCAAAAACTGGTATGGTGATTCAGTTTGCTTTGGTGAAGAGAGATCAAGGTTAACTTTTTTTCTGCTCTCATATCAGCTTTTTCATATTTGTTGTTTTCCTTCTTGATATTCATCTAGTGTTGTTTAATATCATAGAAGGTTGATTTGGTATTGTATGATGGATGCTATTTTGTTTGGTGGAGGCTTGATATTAATTGTCACGAAGAGTATATACAATTTAATTTGTTAATATCTGCAGTTTTAACAATGCCTTTGTGGGCTTCATACTTTCAATTTAAGAATAGTGGTGTATTTTTTTTCTCACATGAGACGTCACCCTTATCATAGTGTTTGTTTTTTATTTCCCTCCAAATTGGATTAGTATTAATTTGCTTCCCATCCTTGCTATAGTGCATGGTTCTTGAATTAGACTATTTGGTGTTTTGTTGGAATTTGTTGAGGTGTTCTAAATATCAAAATCAAACTCACCTCTTGCAACATGTAGGGATTTTGGTATGGAATATGGATTTTGAATCCAATAGTGTACATTATCTAAGTATGAGAATTGCTACTCAATGGAGTATGTGGTTTATCCATTTAATAAACTCTTTTAATGAGCTGTAAGGTTTAAGGTGGTATGTCAAAGACCCAAGAGTTACCAAGGTCAGAGCTCATTTGTGGCATTTTGTTGCTCTTTTTGTGAGCATTATTGTTCTCTTGTATTCTGGACATATTTGTGTTGTTTTGGCCTAATGTAAGTTTGCAGTTAATGTCTCCTTTGTGAAATGTTAGACTAGAACTGGCAGGATCAGTGCTACTTGAGGAAATCGATTTGTTGGGGGTGGAGATGGAAGAATTTCCAAGTTTTTAGTAAACATGATGATACAATATTCTTAATGCATGGACCGATACAGCAATTTTTTTTTTTGGGAAAAATATAATTTCTCATTATGTCTTTTCTCATGGTTCTCAGTATTATAATGAATATCTATCTAAGCCCTTGGGACAGATTATTTATGTTAAAAATAATAAGTGCATTTATGTTAAAGAAGCCTGCTCTATACTTTTCAAAAGGAATGAGTTTTGGATGTTCTTGCAATGTTGGTACTGCAGGGGCATATTTGATGTTGTTTCCCAGAGTCTTTATATTTGCAAACATGACTACATAGACAGACACACTTCTACTGGAATTTCCTAAGTTGCCTCTTTGAATAATGTTCATGTCCAAGATCAGGCCAAGGCACTGTTTCCTTTATATTGGAGTCAAGTTTAGGTGACTGAAGCATTGAGTCTATTGATCTTCTTCAAATAGGTATCAGGAAGAGAGAAGAAAAAGGAGATCCAATAGTATGAAGCATGAAAGTAGTTAAAATAGTAAGGTCGTTGGGTCTCCTTGATTGTACATAGGCTCATAAAGTATATTCATATTCATATCAAGGAACCATTGGCAGCAATAACCATGGTATTGTCTTGAAAGAATCCCTTCAAGAGCTTTGCAAAAGAAAATCACGTCACATGAAAGACATGAATATTGTTCAAGTGAGTTTGGAGGCATTTGGTAGGTTGAATTGTGTACAGGGTCTTTGACCATTGGGCTATATTTTGTTGCCTTCATGACATCCGTTTGGGGAACCGCAATAATGATTGGGAGAAAAAAGGAAAAACAAGTTTTTATAGGTTCTTCCATAAGAAAATGTTGTCTCTGGCTTTGTACATAGCATACCATCCTATGTGCAAGACTAATTTGCTTTTCATGAAAATGTAAAAAAACATACAAGCAAATAAATGTTAAACTTTTGCATAAAAATGCAATTTAAAATGCCATTCCAAATTTGTGTAAATAGGTATGACTTTTATTGAGTAATGAAAAATGATTAAAAATTATGAATTTACCAAATATAATAATTTTAAATTATTATCATAGGAAAAAGTTATATTTAATAAATAAAATATATTTAAATTAGAAATCATAATAATGTGGAAAATTTTAAACTAAATAGTATTATATAATCAATTGGCTTGCGACAAAGTTGTAGTTGTTACAGTATATACTACTTATAACTAGGGGAGGTAATTTCAATATCATTATTTATATATAGAAATGTGTTATAATGTGTTGATATTTTTGTGATAAATTAATATTGTTGATTATATTGATTAAAGTGAACTCTTCCCGTGCATCGCACGGGGGTTTATATGCTAGTTTTCACCAATAAGACCTCTCGCGAGTGTCTCCCGCCCCCCCCCCCCCTCCAAAAAACATATTTCATTTTCTTCTCCAAAAATTTTCAAATGGGGCTAAGGCCCAACATAAAGCGCTAGCTCCAAGTGGGGAAGCTACAAACTAGACTGGAGCACGGACCCGTTGTTTTGGACTTTTGGTTTTCTTTCCCATCAACTTTTCAGCCACTAATTTTATTCCGTTCCGCCGTCTTTATTCCACGTGCCCTTACCATCCTTCATTTCTTTTTCGGTTTGGGAGGACCGCCTTATCTGCCGCCTTTATTCCATGAAATTCACCAGCGTCCAAACGTGACTGTTTTTATTAGGCTACCCTCTTATCCCTTTTATGTTATGAAAGAACATGTCACTGTCTTCTCATTGCAATTTGGAAAAACGCAAACACGAAGCCTTCTTACGTGTGTGGCTGTGTAAAAAAGACACGAAAAGTTTATAGGTGGACAGAAATACCATCCACGTTTAATTTTTTGTGAAAGGAAACCCACGGGTGAATGTTCGTTACTTACAGTACATTAACTGCCCAAGTCTCAATCCAGGAGAATAATGTTAAAGTATAACAGTCTTATCTCAATATATTGAATCAATTTTTAATTAGTTTACTGAGCAAATAATACTAAACAATTAAGCGGTGTCTTTTTGAGGGGCCAGTTAAAAAATCTAGGAGAATAATAAAGAATATTAGGATTTGGGATTTCACTTAACCCCTTTTTCAATTGACATACTGACATTATGCAATAACATGGGAACCAGTTTTTTTTTTACCTTGATATGGCAAACAGATTGACATACTACCATGTAAATTGTTTAATTAATCCGGCTGTAAAGCCAAAGTAAACTCGCATAAGCATTTCCGCTGCATGAAAAGTTAAGGCTTTGTTTGGTTCAGTGGAGGGGAGGGGAGGTTAAAAGAAGGGGGAAGAGAGAAAGGAAGGTCATGGGTTTTATTTGGTTGGATCATAAGAGGAGGAAAAGGGAGGAAAGATTTCTTATTTGGATCATAAGAGGAGGGAAGGGGAGATAATTATAAATTAACAAATACTACCTCCGGTCCTTATTATAAGACTCCGTTTGACTTTTTGTTTGGTCCTAATTATAAGACCCCAATCCATTTTGTCTCTCATATTTATGCATTTTTTTCAAAATAATCCTTCTAATAATGATAGTTCTAGCCAATACACTTAATTAGCAAGGATATTTTAGGAATGACAACACTTATTTATTACAAATAACTAACTTAACTTACTTCCTTAATCTCTTCAAATAAATCAACTGGGTCTTATAATTAGGACCGGAGGTAATATATCTTTATCTTTATATTTAGACTACTTTAGTTTTTTATTACAATATTCATATCAAAATTATTATTTCTTAATTTATTAATTTCAAAAAACTAATTACCTCAATTACATGTGATAAAAAATATGATAAAAAGTTTAACATTCTATCTTATTAATTTTATAATTATAATACACATGCATGTGTATTAATATATATGATATGTATATATTATATAATTATAATACACTATCCTCTATTAATGTATATTTATCATATTATATTACGAAAAAAATTACTGCCATGATAGAAATATTACATTATCAAATATCATTAGTGACTAAAAAGAGAGAAGTGAGAAAAGAGCTTCTAATAAGAAGAGCAAATTTGGAATATAGAAAAGTTAGCATGAGTAGTTTAGTCAATATTAGACATAATATTTCTTTTCCCTCCAAAACACTCCAAATTTGGAGAAGAGCAAAAAAAAAAGGAGGGGAGTACTAAAAAACAAATTTCTCTCCCATCCTCTCCTCTATTTTTCCCAACCAAACATACTAATTTTATCCCCTCCCCTCCCTCCAACAACTATCAACCAAACAGAGCCTCAGGAGACCGATAATAGTTTTTTTTTTGGAAAAATTGTAAAAAAAGACTTTGAAATTGTAAAAATACAGATAGGGACCCTTGACAACTTTATTTTGGGTTATGATAACCCAAAATAAAGTTGTCAAGGGTCCCTATCTGTATTTTTACAATTTCAAGGTCTTTTTTTTACAATTTCACCTTTTTTCTTCCAGGCAAAAAAGGCAACACACACACATATATATATTACTCCTCCGATCCTTATTATAAGACCCCATTTGATTTTTTATTTGGTCCTAATTATAAGACCCCAATTCATTTTGTCTCTTATATTTATGTATTTTTTTCCAAGATAATCCTTCTAATAATGATAGTTTTAACCAATATACTTAATTAGCAAGGATATTTTACGAATGACAACACTTATTTATTATAAATAACTAACTTAACTTACTTCCTTAATCTCTTCAAATAAATCCATTGGGTCTTATAATTAGTACAGGAGGAGTATTAATTTTACTATGAGCGACTCAAATAGACTTTGGAGACGTTCACGCATTTCGAGGCTGCTTGGCGCAGAAAACCGATCCCGATTTGCTTCTTCCCGGCTTAGCTGTATCTTCACTTCGCCACTTGTTTTTCTCTTCTGTTCCATCTTAGTCTCCTCGAAGTCTCCGACGCCTGTTTCTTTAGCAGCTAGCTCTGTACATAGCGAATCATGCCGATTCACAGCGTCGTCTCAAGCCGAATCTTTGCCCGGAGCTCTGTGATCGGAGCCAGATTTATGTCTTCATGGTGGCGAACCATCGAACCTGCTCCCAAGGATCCGATTCTCGGAGTTACCGAAGCTTTCCTCGCGGATCAGAGTCCAAACAAAGTCAATGTTGGAGTTGTGAGTTCTCTGCCGTTTTGCTCTTTCCGTTGCTGGTTGATTTACTGGCCTATCTTGTTATAAATATTGCGAACTATCGAACAACGGGACAAAATTATTATAATCCTTCTTTTTCACTCTCTTCATCACCTGACTTGTTTTCTTAGCTGTTATATCAATCTTAGTCAACTAATTAACTAATGATCTGTACCGTGCATTTGGTAGCAACAGTCGGTTTGGTGGATTTAATTCTGTCCTTGCATCGATGTGTGAGATTTTTTATGAGAAGGATGGAGTGGTTGAAATCAAAACGATATATACCAGCTTGATTTTTAATCGAGAAAGATGGAATAGGTGAAACAAAAACGATACATATTAGCTTCACGCTCGTGATTCATAGGAACGAAAGTTGTGTTTTCTTTTTCCTGTTATATTCTTATCTTCTTTGTAAAATATTACTATTGCTATTTTATTCAATCACAGAGAAATTTTGAAACTACTATGAAAAACAGTCAACCCGATCTGCATCCTTCGTTTTAGCCTTTCCTTCCTCTTTCGAATTTTTTATATCGTTTAACTTCTGAAATATAGCTCATGGTGAGAAAAGGGAAACACAGACAGGGGAGTTGTTTTTTATCTGAGAGTTTAGTTGGACTAAGTATATCTTCACATTTTTGACACATTGAGAATTGGAATAGAGATTGAGCTACTTATACATTGACATTTTAATAAATAGGTATCCTTGATTTTGGCGACATGTGTTATAGATTTGATCGTTCTATGATCCATATTTTCGCTTTCTTGTATTTATGAAGGGTGCCTATCGTGATGACAATGGAAGGCCTGTGGTTCTTGATTGTGTCAGAGAAGCTGAGCGCAGGATAGCTGGAAATGAATACATGTGAGCTCAATATTCCATTATTGGATATTTGGTGTTCATATGTCATGTAAAAAGATGTTTCCAAACTGTTAAATTCTTTAGTTAGCGTTTGGTTCATAGAATAGGTAGTTTCTCAAGTACATTGAAATCTATTTATAAAAAGCTTGAGCGTGATTTGCCAGTGTAGTTGTTAGCATATTGGCCAAATTGTAACTTCTTTTTCCTGGTGATGAGAAAAGTGAGGTTGCATTTATTCTTTTAAATTTACCATTTGCTGGGGGATACTGGTTCCTTCCCTTACATTTTTGGGATGATGTAGAGATTGGAGAATCATGCACTATTGCTTTTTGGTAAATGTTTTTGAAAAACTGCAGCAGTCTTTCTTTAGATTAGATTTTTCCAAGTGATGATTCCATGTTGGCTTGGCTGATGAGACATAAGATGGACATTAGACTCACTGTTATGAGCCTTCCTTACAAGTATATATATTGTTTCCCTTGTCAGCTACAGCAAAGTGTGGAATGGGCGGGAAATTTTAAAATTTACTGTGTCTGGAATTTTATTCAATAATATTAACTGCAAAACCTTATTAAAATGGTACCTTCATCATGTTGATTTAATAGCATAAAAGTGACCGACTGGAATGTTGCCTCTACTAGTATCTTGCTATCTCTAAATAATACTTATAAAATCGTCAGGCTTATTTTTATGACTGTCTCAGTTTGAAATATTTCTGAAGGTAAGAAACTAAATGGACAAATTTTTTTTTTGGAGGGGGGTTGCGTCTGGGAAAAGCCCAGAATGGCTCTTTTACACAGCAGATGATCCACACTCATTAAATATATGCCATTGTTTACTTCCACATGTCCTTTTAACCTGATCTTCTCTCTTCTTCCCTGGCCAGGGAGTATCTTCCTATTGGTGGGAGCATAAAGATGGTGGAAGAATCATTGAAGCTGGCTTATGGAGAGAACTCTGAGTTTATCAAAGATAAAAGAATAGCTGCAGTGCAGTCTCTGTCTGGGACAGGCGCATGCCGACTTTTTGCGGCATTTCAACAGCGTTTTCATCCTGACTCTCAGATCTATTTACCAATCCCTACGTGGTCCAAGTGAGTATTTTGTGGCACGCATTTTTCAATTTTTGTGTGCCTGTAGCCCTTCAAATTTTGTTGTTCCGTTAAAAAAATGCTGTTTCTTTTACTTAAAAAAATCTGTTTCGCCATGCCCTTCCTGGATATCTATTTCTAATTTTGAGATATTACAGCCACCATAACATTTGGAGAGATGCTGGAGTGCCTATGAAGACATTCCGTTACTATCACCCAGAGACTAGAGGCTTGGATTTTGCAGCGTTGATGGATGAGATAAAGGTTATTTCATCCTTACTACTTATAACTTGATTCTGCATAGGTCAACCTTTTTTTATATTATAAGTTAGCTTTTCTGGTACATCATACTCTTCTCGGCTCTTAAAAGTTGGTATTCTGTGCACAGAGTGCTCCAAATGGCTCATTCTTTTTGCTTCATGCTTGTGCTCACAATCCAACCGGAGTAGATCCTTCAGAGGAACAATGGAGAGAGATCTCTTCCCAGTTCAAGGTACATAATTTATGGTATTTTTATTTTCTGTATGCAATTAGGGATTTCTTTTTTCTGTTTCATTTTTGTTGGTTGTTCATCATTATGCTTGTCTCCAGTTAAAAGGCCATTTCCCCTTCTTTGACATGGCATATCAAGGTTTTGCTAGTGGCTATCCAGAGAAAGATGCAAAGGCAATCAAGATTTTTCTTGATGATGGCCATTTAATAGGACTTGCTCAGTCATACGCCAAGAATATGGGATTGTATGGCCAGCGGGTAGGATGCCTGAGGTAATTTTCTACTCACGATCTGACTGTGATATCTCTTGATATCATTCCCTTTGGCATGTAATATTTGTATGTTTTTCACAGCTTGGTTTGTGAAGATGAGAAACAAGCTGTGGCTGTAAAAAGTCAGTTGCAGCTGCTTGCCAGACCAATGTATAGTAATCCACCTGTTCATGGGGCACGCATAGTTTCAACCGTCCTTGGTGATCCAGAGTTGAAACAGTTATGGCTCAAAGAAGTTAAGGTAAAGTGCCACTGCACCAATAGAACAACATACGCACAAACACACTGAAAGCAACTTTCTAGGAAATACAACTTGCTCTATGTTCGTTTGCATTTGAGTGAGAAATGGATATATATATATATATAGAGAGAGAGAGAGAGAGAGAGTGACAATGATGCCCTGGACCATGCCACAATAGGTGCCATTGATACATGCGGAAAGAGGTCACCAGCTGTCTTCATTTTGAGAAGTTAGGAATTCTATCACTTCCTGCCCCGAAATTTAATCACTGATTCCATGTTGATTTGAATCTGGAATATTGAGAATGAGTTAAATACGGGAGTTTCCACGAAATTGTTATATAGCTTACAGAAGTCTTAAGATTCGGAGAAATACGCTTCCCTTTTTTCTTTTTTAAAGTAAAAGGACTCGATTGCTATGTTTAAATTTTTCCTCCATTGACATCATATGTTTGCAATGTCCAAAATCTTCTCTTCTGACGCGCACACATACAATTGCAATGCTTTAGTTTTTATCCAGTAACAATGGCTAGTCTGATACACACCAACAGTAGAACTGTAAAGCTTTAACCATCTTTGTGCAAATGGTTTAAAATTAACATGTAGCATCTATCTCGCGACCGTAAATCACTAGCATCTTAGTCAGAGTATATTGGTATCTTTTCCTGGACGGATTTTGGGAAAATATAATGCAATTGACCATTATTAGCTTTATAACTTGTCAGGTTATGGCAGACCGCATAATTGGAATGCGGGCCACGCTCCAGGAGTGCTTAGAAAAACGGGGTTCTCCTTTGTCTTGGCGGCACATAACCGATCAGGTTCATCTTATTCTGTGCTCGGACAACGGCTTCATTCGCTGCGTTTCCTTCTCTGTCTTGTTTGAGCTTTCTCACAAGTCGTATGATATTTCTGCAGATTGGCATGTTTTGCTACACTGGGTTGACACCAGAACAGGTTGACCGTTTGACGAGCGAATTTCATATTTATATGACTCGTAATGGTCGCATAAGGTAAAACATCTAACAAAACAGTTTTATTCCCATTTTTCTTCTACTTTCGCGCGGAATTTGCTAATTTGACGTATTATTGTAGTATGGCTGGTCTCAATACGGGCAACGTTGCATACGTGGCTGACGCTATTCACGAGGTCACAAAATCTGCCTAGGTTTTTCTGTTGCGGATTACATAAAAATTGTCCTAGGGGCTATATAAACCATGAGGGTTAGTTTTGCCCAATTGAGACCTAATAAAATTATGAAGGTTTTGACCCATTCACCATTTCTCAATTAACCATGGATGGTGAAGATCTTTAGGGTTGTATCTCGCGTATTTTAACGCCTTTACGGTGTCACATCTCCATTCTTTTGTAGCCCTCTCTGCTTCCCCCTTCCGTGTTCTTTGTGGGAAAGATAGGTTTAGGAGAGGGTTTCGATTTGTAGCATTATGCAAGTTCGTTATGTTCAGAACCAAGAGTTCAGCATTGCTTTCGTTTCAGTCACTTTTTACGTTTTTCGCTGAATAAAATATCGTCATCTTTCTTAATCATTAGAGTTCTATCGTCTTGTATGCTTCATGTTTTTGCATTTTCTTATTCGGGAATCAATAGTTTTCCAGCCTAAGATGCAGAGTGCCGTCTTCCTCGACCTATTCAAAATCCGAAAGATGATCATTTTAGGCGAGGGGAGAACTTTTGTTAGAACATGGCTTACATCGCTCGGATAACTCTGACGTGCATAATTCTTATCCATCCCAAACTATTTTTTTTTAAACCCCATCCATAATTGCACGTTATAAAATTTTCATCAACAACACTTTCAACATAAATAATTAAAAATGATGTTTAAAGAAAACTCGCATTTTTAACGGGTTCCGTCCGTTGCAAAATTAATTAAAAAAAACAATTTTTTTCAAAACCATCCATAGTTTCACATATTAAAGGGTTTTTTTTTATAAAGAACACTTTCAACAGAGATTATTAAAAATGATATTTTCAAAAAAAAATAACAATGATATTAAATGACATTTTTAACAAATAACCACACTAATTAAATTAATCTGTTTCCATTATAATCTAATGGTTTAGAAGAGAGTCAAAAATTTATTTTCCAAAAAAATAAATAAAAATCTTTACCTTACCATTAGATTACAATCTAATGGTTAACATGCCTCAATTGAATCAAGAGCTTTTATCTTCCGCCTTGAATCTCGCCATTCTCTGAAGGGAAGACACGAGGGATACAGGACAAGTGAAGTGAATAATGAACAGAAAAATCTAGCTTCGAACCCAAGATTGACATGCATGAATAGAAACAACACCATGAATATGATCATGTAAAAAAAGCAACACAAACTTACGGCCGAGGCCCCCTGATTTCCTGGCAGGCTCTGGCAGCCACTACCTATGCAGAAGCGAATTCGATCAACATTCTATACTCCTAGCTTTCTGGGATCTGATCAAAAACAATGTACAGATGCAGTAAATAAGTATGCCTTTTAACTAAAATGACATATTAGACAATCACCAATTTCCAGGCTATGCCACGGAGCCACTACATGTATACATCCTCACATGGGGACAAAAACTGCAAATAGCGCCAGAACCCCCACTTATGACCCAAGATAGGCCCTCCTTTGTTTCTTGTTTCTTGTTGATCACTAGATTGGTTTACTCCATTTTCTCTTCTCTTTACATCTATGTACCAGGTGGAATCTGGAAGCCCAGAATGCTCTGCCGCCTGACATGCTCTGGGATGAGCTTGCTGATCAGTTCAGGTGATGCTCCGGACAGCTGCAGTCAAAGCGTTTCGTTACAGTCAAGGCTGCTACTGTTTCAGCGATAAGAGACATTTCATACGTCAACAGAAAAGTTATATCTACTACCATGATTAACCGCACGAGTCGAGAGCAATTTATAAGCTCCGCTCAGGTGTGATTGGCATGGATATTATTGCATTTAGCATAAGTTTAGGTATGGAACATTGTTATTGAATTCCCTTGTGATATATATATATATATATATATATATATATATATAGTACACATAGAAGAAATGGCACTCATGAAGATGCATTTTGTATATAATAATATGCAATCGAAGAACTCAATCTGATACATACTTCCTGTTTAAAGTTGAAAAGCGGGGGCAGCGGGCGGCCATTAGGCAGTCTGGCATTAGGTTCACGAAGCTCATCAAAGAAAGGATGTGCACATGCTTGCAGCTAAAATAATTAAGAACCACGAGTGAGAATTACGCCAGTTATAGTGAATCAATATACACCATGGAATCTCAATGAGGGGAAATCCACAGCAGAGAAGTTAACTGAAATATTGAAGGAATAAACCACGTTGATCTAATCCCATAGAAGCATAATGGAAAAAGAAAAGATAAAATAATTTTAAATGGGCCCTCAAATCAACATGGATGTGATATGCTCCCACTTGAATGTACAATGATATCTGTTTTTCATGTTAGGGGGATGAGTGGAGAAAGGCCATAGGGGTTGTCTTACCGCAGTACATCGAAAACTAGGTGAATATTGGAGAAGCCTTGAAGTAAGGTCAATCGCTTCAGGTGGCATTCGCTTATGAAAAACCTGAATCATGGATCAAATTGAATCATTGCATTGGCTACATCAAGCAGAGTAAAGGACCCAAAAAGAAAAGAGTTCGATGATTCTAAAGCTGCCTGATTTATTATGAAAATTACATTATTTTATTATTGTTAGAAAGCCCCTAATTATCTCCCTTGATTCTCTCTATTAATTGCCCATGATATTAGCTAGAATATATATTTCCTGATTTAGTGTGATATTGCAATATATGTAATTTATGACTGATTGATTCTGGAGGGATATTTTTTCTCATCCGGACTCTATATATTGTAACCCCATCATATGGAATAATATATGAGCATGAAATATTCAGCAAAATAAACATGGTATCAGAGCGTAGGGTTCCACCTGAACCCAGGAAATTTCGTGCGTTGCTGCCGTGAGATAGAGAGAGAGAACGCGAGGAGAGAGAGAGAGAGTGAGTGAGACGTCCCAGATCTGAAGCCAGGAGCAGACCGTGGACGACACCGCCCCTCCAGTCCTCACCGGCGTCCTCAGATCGGCGCAACCCTTGAACGCGACGTCGAACGGAGCTGCGCGTGAAGCACACGCGCCGTCACAAGCTCCGCGCGTGAAGCCCACGTGCCGCCGCCGGAAAAAGCAACAGTACCTCCCAGAGATCCAGAAAATGAACCCATCAGAGTTCCCACCCCTTTTTGGGTCTGTTCGTAATATTCCAATGGCCCTTATGTCCGGTACATCTTCAAATACTCAAAGCACTCCTTTTTCACCTGTAGTCACCTCTCAAGCCTCTGATCCAGAACCATCCTTAACCTCTGAACATCAAGCTATGGTGGTGGCTCACAAACTTAATGGTAGCAACTATCTCCAATGGTCCCAAAGTGTGTTAATGTATCTCCGTGGGAAGCGTAAGGAGAAATATATCAATGGAGAGGCAAAACAACCTTCACATAATGATCCCAAATTTGACACCTGGTTTGCTGAGAATAATCAGGTGATGTCTTGGCTGTGCAACTCAATGACTCTCGAAATCAGTGAAGGATACCTCTTGGCAAGCACAGCTAAGGAAATCTGGGACGCTGCTAAGAGGACTTACTCCACACTAGACAACACTGCAGCCCTATTGGATCTAAGGAGGCAGCTGAAAGATCTGAAGCAAGGAAACTTAACTGTAACACAATATTACAGCACTTTAACAAAGATATGGCAGCAGTTGGATCTCTTTGAAGTTCATCCTTGGAAGAACATGGATGATGCTAATTACTACAGACAACTGGTGGAAAAAGGACGAACCTATGACTTCCTATTGGGTTTGAATGATGTCTTTGAAGAGGTAAGAGGCAGAATTATGGGTCTAAAACCGCTTCCCTCCCTATTTGAAGTCTTCAGTATGGTCAAGTTTGAAGAAAGCCGGAGACACCTCACTCAGGGTAACCAAACCCCAGTAGATGGCTCAGCATTGGTCACGAGGAGGTCCCCAACATTCGAGGGATCTGAGAAGAAAGGGACCAAGTGGTGCAATCACTGTAACAAGAAAGGCCACACCAGAGACGAATGTTGGAAACTACATGGGAAACCAACCCAAGGGAAGCAGAAACAACGGGAAGATAGAAAAAGCCACCACACCTCCTCTGAAGAAAAAGGTGATGATGGAGACCAGTTGACCAGAGAAGAGCTTCAAATGCTTCGTAAGATACTTGAAAAACAAAACAAATCAAAATCTGTTCCCAACGTGAACTTGATTCAGTCAGGTAATTCTATTATAGCCCTTAATGCAATGGTAACTAGTGATGAGACTTGGATTGTTGACTCCGGTGCTACAGACCACATGACTGGTAATAAGTCCTTCTTCAAAACCCTCAAATATTGCCATGAGAACCTTAGGGTAAAAGTAGCAACTGGACTATATACTAAAGTTGAGGGTGTTGGCATTGTGGCCCTATCTGATGATCTGGAAATCCATAATGTTTTGTTTGTTCCTGCTCTTACCTGCAACCTTATATCTGTGAGCAAATTGACTAAAGGACAAGTATGTCGGGTAATCTTTGATGATGTTAAGTGTGTTTTTCAGGATTCGACCTCGGGGAGGAAGATTTTGACTGCTAAAGAATGGGATGGACTCTACTACTTTGAAGGAAAAAATATGAAGACTGCAGGAGCAAAGAAGGCTATGGTTAGCTCTAATTCTCAGAATAAAAATGTAATGTTGTGGCATCAAAGATTAGGCCACCCCAGTTTTGATTATATGAAGCATGTGTTTCCAACTTTATTCAATAAAAATTCTCCTTTCCAATGTGAAACGTGTCAAATTGCCAAACAAACTCGCGCCTCTTATCCCAAACATACTTACAAACCTACTGCCCCGTTTACAATGATTCATACCGACATTTGGGGACCAGCCAAAATCAACACCCGAACAGGCACAAAGTGGTTTATTACATTCATCGATGATCACACCCGGGTCACATGGGTTTACCTTATGAAAGAGAAATCCGAAGCTTTACAAATTTCAAAAACTTTCACTCTTTTGTGAGAACCCAATTCCAAACTCCCATCAAAGTTCTGAGAAGTGACAATGCCAAAGAGTATGTGAGTGGAGCCTTTAGGGAATTTCTTGAGCAGGAAGGAATCCATCACCAAACCTCATGTGTCTATACTCCTCAACAAAATGGAGTTGCTGAGCGGAAAAATAGGCATCTTCTAGAAGTAACCCGAGCTATTATGATGGAAAGAAATGTTCCAAGTTTGTTTTGGGGAGATGCTGTGCTAACCGCTGCTTATCTCATCAATCGAATGACCTCCAAAATTCTCCATTTCACTACCCCCATAAAAAACTCCTCGAGACCTACCCCACCTCACCTATCATCAATACCATCCCTCAAAAGGTCTTTGGGTGTGTCGTCTTTGTTCATAAACATGATGGGGGCAAACTTGATGCTAGAGCAGAAAAATGTATTTTCCTCGGATATTCCTCCACCAAAAAGGGGTATAAGTGTTATTGTCCCACTACCAGAAAACTCATAATCTCCAAAGACACAGTTTTTTATGAGGATGATGCTTATTATCCCAAATTACCCATTCAGGGGGAGCACTATGGAGTAGAATGGCTAATTACACCTGAACCTATGACCAACCCCAACACACATCTTACCCCTCTTGAACCTGCCATACCACCTGAACCTATGATCATTGTCCCTGAACCGGAACCAAAAACCCCTAGTCCTACACCTCCACTAGAGCACCAAAACCCCACAAATATCCCTCACCCAATGGAAACCAATGCTGAAATTGATGCAGGGGTGACAGAGTGTTCAAGTCCTCAATCAGGTGAGCAGGACAGTAGTAGTAGGGTTCCTTCCATTCCAAGGCAGCAACATGATTCCAATCCAGAGTTGGATCCTGAAGAGCTAGGATGGCCCATTGCACTTAGAAAGGGGGTAAGATCATGTACTCAGCATCCTATTCAAAAATTTGTCTCTTATGGCAATTTATCTGCTAGAATGCAAACCTTTGTGGTGAATAGCTCACAGGTGAAGATTCCAGAAACATTTCAACAGGCTATGAAAGATCTTAATTGGAAACGTGCCGCATATGAGGAGTTGAGAGCCTTAAAGGAAAATAACACATGGGATATTACCACACTTCCTAAGGGTAAGAAAGCAGTGGGTTGCAGGTGGATCTTCACCCCTAAATTCAATCCTGATGGAAGTATCAATAAGTACAAAGGAAGATTAGTTGCTAAAGGGTACACCCAGACCTATGGGATTGATTATCAAGAAACGTTTGCTCCTGTGGCAAAGTTCAACACCATCCAGGTACTCCTGTCCCTAGCTGCTAACCTTGATTGGTCTCTACATCAACTAGATGTGAAGAATGCTTTCCTAAATGGAGATTTGGAGGAGGAAGTGTACATGGCAATCCCAGATGGAGTAATAGCTCCACCCAACTCAGTTTGCAAACTGAAGAAATCACTGTATGGCTTGAAACAGTCTCCACGAGCGTGGTTCGACAGGTTTGCCAAGGCAATCAAAAGGTTTGGCTACATCCAAGGACAAGCTGATCACACTCTCTTCGTCAAACACAGTAATGGAAAGGTAACGATCCTAATTGTGTATGTGGATGATATAGTCATAACTGGCAGTGATGAAGTTTCTATCTCCCAACTCAAGAAAGCTCTAGCTAGGGAATTCCAAGTGAAGGACCTAGGACAAATGAAGTACTTTCTTGGAATGGAGGTTGCTAGATCCAAAAAGGGTATAAGTGTGTCTCAACGAAAGTACACACTTGATTTGCTCCACGAAACAGGAATACTTGGGGCTAAACCTAGTGAGACGCCTATGGAAGAATCATGTAATCTGGAAGTGAAACCAGACGGGGTACCAGTCAACTCAGAAAGGTACAGAAGACTTGTAGGTAAACTGATCTACTTGACTCATACAAGGCCTGACATTAGCTATGCAGTTGGAGTAGTAAGCCAATTTATGCATCAACCCCAGGAAGAACATATGGAAGCAGTATACAGAATCCTGACCTACCTCAAACTCAATCCTGGAAGAGGAATATTCTTTAAAAAGGGGAGTACAAGGAACATAGAGGTCTACACTGATGCAGATCATGGGAGAGCTGTGGATAACAGAAGATCTGTCACAGGATACTGCACTTATGTTTGGGGAAACCTAGTCACTTGGCGAAGCAAGAAACAGACTGTAGTCTCAAGGAGTAGTGCTGAAGCTGAGCTAAGGGCTGTAGCCCTGGGGGTATGTGAAGGAATGTGGGTGATCAGACTTCTGAAGGAATTGAGAATTTCCTATGAAGGACCTATGAACCTCTGGTGTGACAACCAAGCCAGCATTGAAATGACCAAGAATCCTGTGTATCATGACCGAACAAAGCATGTTGACATTGATCGGCACTTCATCAAAGAAAAGGTTGAAGATGGCACAATTAACCTGAGCTATGTGCGCTCAACTGATCAGATTGCTGACGTCATGACCAAACCTTTAGCCAGAGTCAAGTTTGAAGGGCTTCGAAGCAAGCTGGGAATGGTTGACATCTACTCTCCAGCTTGAGGGGGAGTGTTAGAAAGCCCCTGATTATCTCCCTTGATTCTCTCTATTAATTGCCCATGATATTAGCTAGAATATATATTTCCTGATTTAGTGTGATATTGCAATATATGTAATTTATGACTGATTGATTCTGGAGGGATATTTTTTCTCATCCGGACTCTATATATTGTAACCCAATCATATGGAATAATATATGAGCATGAAATATTCAGCAAAATAAACAATTATTGACAATCTGTATCACCTTGTAACATCTATTTCATGAATTCATTTCACATTTAGTTTGATGATGTTTATTATCTACTGATTCACTATTTATATGCCATTAGCCAGCATAGCAAATCAAGCTGATAATGTACGGGGGAATATTCTCCTTTACCTTGTGCCAAGGGTGAGCTTTAATTTGTGGAAATCTAAAATCTGTATAATTTGGGTTCATGCAACGAATTTCTTCTCGAGTTGGGCTACCAAGAACCTACAAAAACAACAAAATAAGTACCTCTCTGCAACTAAATTCACTAAACCCTCATTAACACCAACTAGACAAGTGTCAGGCACCTTGATGATTTCCACAAGTTGGTCCACCTGATTGTCTCCTGGAAACAATGGCTGAAGAAACATTCGAAACCATAAGCAACTACAAATGACTAACTGAAAAGGGATTAGGAGGGGCGCTTCTTCAGCATGAGTAATGATACGAACCTGGCCTAGAAGAAGTTCGGCAAGGACGCAACCAGCTGACCAGATATCAATTGAAGTTGTGTATTCTGTCGCACCAAATATTAGTTCCGGAGCTCGATAGTAACGTGAACATATGTAGGAAATGTTTGATTCACCCTTTACCTGATATAAATAGCAACGTATATTGACAGGTTTCATGATAGTGCAACAAAAATTCATCAGCCAAAGCTTATTTTTTGTTCTCATACTTCCACGTTATCATGGTGTACATATGACTACTATACCCCCTTTCAGAAAACATTTTAAGAGCATTTGTAATTTCATCTTGGCCAATCATTAGAACATTATTGATGTTGATTCAAGAGAATTCGCAAACCCCTTTAAGAAAACAATACCCCTTATCATGGTGTATAATCTTGGTTCAATCAACACCACGGTGACATATGGAGATGAATAAAGAAGTTCATATAAATCAGTTAAGCGTTCAAGTCCAACATACCAAAACTTTAGCACTCCCAAAATCACAAAGCTTCACTTGGTGTGTGAGAGGATCAACCTGCAAAGAAGCATATACCATGAATTAAGGATAAATAATTACAACTCATACCCCAAAAAAAAAAAAAGCAAAAGAAAAACTTACCAAAAGATTTTGAGGCTTCACATCTCTATGGCAAACTCCCGGTACAGTATGGATATATGCCAGTCCCCTAAAGATCTGAGAACCATGGATATATAAGCTTTGGAGAGAAGAAATAATAAACAGCAAGATAGCCAGCTGAACAATTAAAGAAAAGAGTTCATACTTGGTATGTGTAAAGTTTCACATAGATGAGGGGCATCCTCTGGTTCATACTACTATAGTGTTTTAGAACTCGATACATTGTCTCAGGTACATATTCCATAACCAAGTTCAGAAAAAGTTCGTCTCTGCTAGTTGTAGAGAAGAAACAGTGCTTAAGAGAAATCACATTTGGATGATCCATCAATCGCATTAACTGCAGTTCACGATTCTTGTACCGCCTGTCCTGCAAGACCTTCTTTATAGCCACTGATTCCCCAGTCTCCAAGCACTTTGCCTGTATTTTAGGATAAATGGTGCTTATATGATAAACCCAAGCATAAATGCGATGGCAAGGAAAATATGCTTCCCCAGAGTGGATTTGCTCATACCTGGAAAACAATTCCAAATGATCCGGTTCCAACAATTCGTTCTGCCATGTAACTGATGGTCTGCAAGCGGAATCAAGAAAGGCATCTCAACTCAGTTATGTAACTGATGCAAGACTTAAGAGGAAGAACAACAACAATAATATCATCAAATTTGAGTAATCAAAAGGTGAATTAGTAATTATTGCAGCACAATCACCATTTAACAGACCTACAGCTTTCAGAACCCAAAATGCTATTAATATTTTGAATGATCTGGAGAAAAATGACATTTATAGGTGACAAACTCTGTAATATTTGTACTAAGGACATTAAATATTAAGGGCAGTCCGCTAAGTTAAGATCACCAACCCCAATGAGTAGTTTTATTTTATCACAATGTAAAACAAGGACCATCACGCATCTAGATTTTCATATGAACATCTCAAGATCTATTTTACAATAAAAATAAAAAGAGAGAACGAAGAGGGTTATAGAACATCCAACCTGTTTAGGTTCCCCATTTTTGCCTCCAATGGTGGTGGATATTATGTGGCCAGTGACTGCATCATTCCCCTCAACAACAGTAGCTGACATTTCCTGCAATTTACAGTAAGAAATAGCTATTGATGTATCAAAGAAAACCTCCTAATAAAAAACTGAATAGTCGTCCGACACTCTACTTGATAAAATATCAAATATTACATGTTTAAGTTATCTAGTCATCAAATTTTCACATACTCTTGGTTAACTATTTTGTTTGAACACATCAACTTAATATGACAGGTTGACAACATATATTCTACTGATTATGTGTCTTATGTTAGGAACATGTCCTACATTACACCAGTGGCTGCAGATTACATGTCCTACATTCAACGTAGCAAAGTCATTAATAGACACTCATGTACACAGACAAATTAGCTGTTAAAGTTTGGAATCATGATGCAATCACGAGAAGCAGCAATGCAATTTAGATTTGGAAAAATAAAATTGATCAAATAAATTTGATATAGCTACAAGAGGTGGAAGGTTTTATATGAATTTAGACACTAATCAGAAGGCCAATTTGAAGAAGGTACAAACAGCGAAGAACTCACTAGCTCCATACAGGGATTATGTTCAGTGAGGTGACCTCAGTTCCCAGGAACGCATCACATGCCTAACGAAAGCTTTAATGTCAATTCAGAGACCCTAGAGAGAAAACCTAAGGACATTGCTCCCAGAAGCAAACTAAAACGGTTCTAAGAAAATTACGCTAGAACATGAAAATATGGAAAATCAGCCAGAAACTTCAACAGAGAGAGAAGAGCAGAAAAAGCACAAGATCGAAAGATTTTACTAGGAAAACAAAAGATCTAGCTAAAAATATACCACGAAACAGACCAAACAGAACGAACTCAAACAGAGTCTGCATTGACAAAAAGTTTTACAATGGAAAAGGCATAAATTAATTGAAAACTGACTAAAAATGATCTGGAAAAAATAAACAATCCACACAGGCAGTTAGAACTTTTCTGAAAGAGAAATTGGCGATTGCAAACTCAGGTATATGGCTCCCTGAGGCTGGGCTAACCACCGGCTCAGCTCAGTATGGTCTAAATTATAATTACGAAGTCAGATCCTCTCTACCTCTCTTGTTAAATAAAATAGAGCATAAACATATACACTGGACTCCACATTTCCACTTTTTTTTTTATTCCCTTCTTTTCCGCCCACTTCATATTTTAAGATTAAGATCATCACAAGAAATGCTAACCAAAATGTCAATATGATTAAGATCATCACAAGAAATGCTAACCAAAACGTCTCTTCTTACAATTCATCAAGCAGAACTATAATCATCTTTTCAAGATAACCATACAATCACTACGATCGGGGACCTCGCCCCCGGCCCCGGCCTGAAGACGAGCACAAAATCATGAAAAATGGTAGATCGGTCAAAATTCCGTTCATACCAAAGCTTGTTAGCGGGATCAAGCCGATCCAAGGACCAACAACCACCGAGGCACAGTAAGGCACAAAAACAAAGGAAGCCAACGGTGTGTCCGTACAATGAGAGACTATTTGGGCGTAGGTACCTTATCGGTCTCCATATCGGAGCCACGGCGAGCAGCCACCTTCAGTGGTTCATTTCCAGCTTGTGCCTGCGGTGGTGGTTGTGGAATTGTCGCTAGCGGTGGTTGATGGTGGTGCGGCCCAAAGGGGATGGAGGCAATGTCAGTCACACAAACTCCCCTCTCCCTCTCCCTCTCCCTCTCCCCCTCTAGTGTCTCCCTCTCTCTCCTCTTCGCGTCTCTCTCTTGCTGAGTCTATTTTCTCTCTCTCTGAGTCTTCCTCGAGCGAAGAGTGTTGGGGCCAGTCTTTAGAATTAGATCGAGGGGATAGAAGGAAAGCACAATCACGGGAACTTTAGGAGAGTGAAAACACGTCGCAATCTAAACCGTCCAGTGGTCACTTTATATGTACCGATGGCATTGATTAGTGAGTGATTCGGTGTGGTTAAGTACAGGGTAAGATATTCCGTAACCCTGCATGGAAAATCTAGAGAGAGACGAGGATCACATGAAAACCCCAGTGAAACATACAAATACGTAGATACATCCCTGACATTCACTTAAAACTTCTAAGCAAAGTTCTTGAAGTGTTTATTATTGGCTCTATTTTATATTATTAAATCATTAAACTTTTTGTTCATTATCCTGATCCAAAAAGTGTTTATTATATATTTAGGATGATAATGAATATATAAGAATTCTATTCTTAAGTTTAAAGCACATACTTAAATTAAAAGAACACAGTCAAAACTCAAAATTGTTTTAACATTTAAAAAAAAAAAGTGTTGCTCATATCATCATATAAAATGAAAATGAAAGTAAGTCTTCGGCGTAACTGTGATTTGTGAATAATCGGGGCTTTGATTAATTTAAGTTTGACCACACAATAAACTAATTAAAATATCTCGATTTAAAAGGAAGGTAATAATTTATTCAAACCTGCTTGAATAAAAATAACTACCTGAGCCGAGCAACAAATGAAATGGTCGTCTACTTTTGTGCTTTTGTTTGATTATTATATAATTTATTTCATAATATTCAATCATCAACTTGTTTTTATTAATGTATGCAATCATCTATCAACATCAATAAATTAATATCTTGATTCAATTCATGACTAATAAACAAAAACTCACATAAATTTCTGAACAACACAAGGATCGTTGCTGTCTAATGTTAATATAAATTTTATAGCATGTTACATATCTATAAATTATGAAGAATATGATTTACCATTTAAGCGTATGAAAACAAAAAAAAAACACGTTTATTATTTTTAACCAAAGAACTAAACAAGTGATGCTAAAACAGGATCTTTCGATTCGTTCATTTCCTAGTCCTAAGGCATACCCGATTACGGCAAGGCCTAGCGAGGTCTCTGGGATTTCCGTGCACGTGAGAGGACCGTCAGGTCACGTGCGCCGTCGTAAAAAATGGGATCTAAATACGGTGGCTGCCGCAGTAGCAATATTAAAACTGAGCGGAAATTAAAGAAGATCTCAAAGTACGTGTATGTGTATTTTTCTAGTAAAATGTAATTTGATGAAGAAAGGGACACAAGGTAGAAAGTCACAGAAGACATGAACCACAATTTGTTGTTACGATTAATTTAGAGGGCAAATATATATATGAAGACATGTAGAAAGATGGAAATACAGGCGAGGGCCCGCAATAAGAAGAGAAGAGGGTGACATGATGAGTGAAGAAGAGAAAGGTGAAAGCCGAAAGTGGGGAACATGGTTTGAAAACGAGAGCCTGCTGAAGAAAAATGTAAGGAAAAGAACAAACATCTAAGTTAGCTACTTGTCCTGGAAGTGACTAGAGAAGTTGGAATCTCATTCTCATAATATCTCCATTCAATGCATTCTCCACACCATATCACACCAAAAATCGCTCTCACACATATTTAACAATAACCTATATAAGTATCTACATCTTTTTCTTTCCTTTCCCCTTCAATATATTCATTACCTCACGACTGATATATTATATAGTCGGATTTGAATTATAAATTAGTTTTATATTAAGAAATATATCTTTTTACATCAATCATCTCCGAGACAGACCTCTCTGTTTGAAGCTAGCGTGCTTTCACTGCAGTGTACGTAAGAACTGGATGAGTCTTGTAAAAGTGCCTTAATTAGGAAGACTTCACCTGAGTACAGGAAGTGAGCATATGTTTGATTGTACAATAGAAAAAGAGCACAGGATTTATTTTTTGGTAATATTTACTATATATTTAGTATCATTATTTTTTATAAAGATATATTTGTTATCATTACGTGTGTTTCAAATTTTATGTTTAATTCTCATGAAAGAAATAAACATTATTTTTTATCTAGTTATTTTTTATTTGATTTTTTTATACCTTTCTATCTGATAATTTTTCGCGTTAAACTAAAACAACAAAAAAGGGGTAGTAAGAAAATATTATTATCTCTGACTCTGATTTTTAAAATGAAAATCTAAGAAGAGGAGATGATTGCTGTCACTTTACACGTCAAGATCCTTCATATAATATATCTATATCTACACACACAGATATATATATATATAGAGAGAGAGAGAGAGTAAAGCGCTGTTAATCATAACCACGGCCCTTTTTAAGAGAACCCAAGGGAAGATCAATTTGACCAGTTTTCAGTTTTTAAAAGTTTAAAAGAAGGAAAGAATATGTGGCCTCTGGATCCAACTAATTGGGTTAGTGATCAAGTTCATCTTAGTCTCAAACAGCTGGTTTACTTCACTTTTTGACATCATTAATCTGTGGTTGATGGAAATGAAGTCATATCTATTAGCCGATTCTGATGGGCAGATAAAGCACCAAGTACCCTTTTTTTCTTTATTACACCTGGCACGCTATGTTACCCACTAAGTTGAATTATAAATAAAATAAATAGATGGATTCAGCATCAACGAATTAATTGAATTTTAATACCTTTTTAATTCTAAATATATCTTACTTTTCAGTTCTTAATATAGAACCTAATTATTAGATTAATTTTGGTTTTAAATATAAGACTTATTTATCATATTTATCAATTTTTTCTAAATTATCCCTATGAATCTCCCTCCATCACAATCAAGTAAAAAAGAAATAGAAGATATTAAAGAAGATTATTATGGTGTTTTAAGAAAAACATGTCATATTTCTTATAATTAACTAATTTACCTAACTTTTTTAATTTAATCAAATCAGTTAAATAGGTATTAATTTTAAAGAGTGGAGGAGTGTAATGGGAGTAGCATATAATTACACCTATAATCCTTGAGGCATTGTAATATCTCGTACATTCAACCTGATTTTACTTCTCAGTCGGCCGCAATTTATAATGCCAAGTGGTTCGGTGAACCATCACAGTTCATATTGTAGGGCAACGAACTAATTATCATGGAAGGGTTCTTTACCACTGGACTCCACTTTTTAATTCCATCTTTTATTCTCGTACGTCAAAGATGCATTAATGTTTTTGGTAAAATGTAATCATATATTTCAAGCCTTCCAAAAAAAAAAACCCATGTACAGTAAAACGTTAGATTGACTAAAACGCAACAAAGAGTCACCTTCTAGGAACTAAGGAAGGATTCCTTTGAAGCATTCATCACCCTCAAACCTTAAAGACATGGACGTTGAGCAGGTCTTTTCAGAACAAATCAAAATATACCGATCTAGTCCCTTCATCAATTTGAAGTCTTCAATCACAAAAAAAAAAAAAATGATTAACTTAGCTTCATTATCTATGAACCTTTACTTTAGATTTCATTCAAAGCGTTATATAGGGCTCGTTTGGCATCACGTTTGGGCTTCCAAACATGGCCAAACAAGCTTCTCCACTGAGCTTCTCCACATGGGTTTGTTTGGATCCACATCTACACAATTTGACTTCTTAAACTCTGATGGACTTCTGGCAAAAGCTCAATGCAAGGGCTTTTTTCTGGAGCACGATGGCGTTGAAGAAAAAAACGGTTACATATTTATTACCAACCTTAAATTTTATTACCAACCTGCTGCATGTTTATTTTCTCTCAGCTCAATATTAAAGAGAGTTCGGCTTACACAACACACAACACACGATCTGAAGCCTCGCTCACGACTGCAAGTCCGTGTTGCTTTTTAGTTATTTGATGTATGGCATCTAATTAATTATTTGATGTATCGTGTGTAAAAATACTATGTTTGTATGATTTCTAATTTATATATTTGTCCATTACATATATTTAATTAAGTATTTTATTATTTTTCAATTTCTTTCTAATATAACTTAAATTTTTTTAAATTATTTAATTTTAATACTTCATTTAAAATGGTCACATTATATATATAATTTCTTTCTAATAATAAATTAAATTTCTTTATTTTTAATAATTTTTTCTTCCTTAATTCTTAAAAAATAGTCAAATTAATATGAGATATATATTATTTAATAAAATTCATGTCCTTTTAAGTCATTTTACATGCAAACTTACTTTTACTTTTATCATCCAAACAAGTTTTAACCTCTCAAACTGACTTTTTTGAAAACCCAACCCAAACATAAATCACATCACCCTATCTGACTTTTACTCAATCTGACTTCTGCAAAAGTCAGATTGAAAAAAAGTTACTCTTCTCTTCTCATCACTAAATCCAACACACCCATAGTTGCTTTGACTGAATCCTGAGGTGGGGATAACTCATGGACATGGAAACTTGGGTAGTTACCAAGCTTTGAGGTTGTCTCCCCCCGGGCCTTCACCAATGGAGCCAATGACTGCACAACGTCTGCCATTAGAGGCCTATAATCTACCTCGGGTTGCACACACAGTGCAGCAATGGCGGCTACCTGGATAACTTCCTTCATTGAGTACTGACCTTCCAGTGTGGGATCCACAATCTTTGTAACATTTCTTCTATCATTCAATAGGGGCATGGCCTAAAATGCAACGAGTGAAGGAAATTTTGTGACTTTTGAGTAAACGCTATCAGCAATAATGCCAAGTGTTACAGCTTAATAGTTATAGAACTTTTACTCAGTACTTTTGGCGATCAAGAAACTTCACAGATGTAAAGAAAACTATCAAACTCACCCAAGAAACAAGAACACCTTCCCCCGAAGGTCTCTCCATATCAACCGGTACTCGACCGGTTAACAGCTCGAGAAGTACAACTCCAAACTGTATACGTCTGATTTGATTGTTAAGTGTCCAGTTAATGCATATCTGCATAGGGATGAATTCAGTTTTTCTTGTCATGATTGCTTTCAATACT